AGTGGCTTAGGCCCTGATCCTGATGACCTCATGTGTATATCTTTATCTGGAAGTCCCAGAGCAGCGTCCCCTTCCACGGTGCTAAAGGTGGAGCTGGCAGGACTTGACTCTCCTTGTGGACGCTCAGTAGTAATCATTGCCACGGATGCATGGGGCACATCTCTATGATCCTGAGGTGTATCAGACCATTCCCTGTGGAATCCCACGTGCTAGAGAAAACTCAGGGTCTTCTAAATGTGACTGTAAGGTCATGGCTTTCGAGGTTGAGTATGAGAGGCAGAGGGGTGTCTGGTCAGCCACCTGCAGAGCCAACTAGGAGCCAGTCGGACTGTTTGAACAGAGGACAGGCTCTAGCAGATGGCAGGGGTGGTACCCAGGATGCCCTCCTAGGTGCCAGAGGCTCCAGACTCAAAGGAGGATTTGGAAAGGAACCAGGCAGGAGAGGACACTGTGGTCCCAGGAGTGCAGGCTGCAAAGAGAGTCGGCTGCCCCAGAGAGGTGGAAGCAGCAAGACCCTGGAGATCCCATCTGACCTGCCCAGGGCTGGTCAGGAGAGGGAGTGGGGAGGAGATGCTGCTGCAGGTGAGCTGCCGCCCTGGCCTCCATGAGATCATCTGTGCTCTGAGGCCAAGGCTGGGACCACAGCCCCGGGGGGGGGGGGCACTCCAGGATGGACATGTGACAGCCATCATAACAGGTACTCCTCATGCCCCTTATTGGATATGACTGTTAGGTGTGGGTGGGATCTTGCTCTGGGTACCTAAGAACCTCAGGCCTTTGGCTGCTAGGAGGCCCAAACTGCCCCCTGCACCCACCGACTTATCTGGAGGTCATTTTCAGGATCCAGCATCTTCAGCAGCTGCCTCTCTGTGAAAACACACCACACTGTTCCCAAGCTGATCTTGCCTAGGGCATCACCGATGGGACAGGCAACTCCCCTGGCTTATGGATTCTCAGTGAATGTTCTGCTCCTCTGAGAAGTCCCTGTGTTTCCTCATGGCTTCCCTGGAGGCTCAGTGTTAAATAGTCAACTGCAATGTGGGAGACACAGGTTCGATCCCTGGGTAAGAAGATACTCTGGAGGAGGAAATGGCATCCCACTCCGGTATTCTTGCCTGGGAAATCCCATGGACCGGAGCCCAAGGGCGTGGGTGGGCTACAGTCTGTGGGGTCACAAAGAGTCGAACATACTGAGCGACTAAGCACGTACACACATATGCACAGCTTAAGTTTTGCTCTGGACCCTTGTTTCTTTGTCAAGACACTGACACTGGCAGTTGTCAAGACCTGGCACTTGTCAGACATCTGTGGCAAATAACACTGGCAGACGTCTTAAAGTGGTTTTTGAGCAATACAGGGTTCTAGGTCTACACCTGGCCTCGATTGGTGGCTCTTGTCATATCCAGGGAAAACATCTATGAGTTTGGATAAGGGCAGTGTTTGTGGGGCTTGAGAAAAATTGGATCCAGAGATGTTTCTGTGGTGGAAGAGGACTGGTTAGTTTATTATATGAGACTGAAGGTTAAGGGAGAGGAAAAGCTGAAGATAATTTAGGAAGGGTTGTTTCACACCTACAAGTGTCGTGTGCTTGTGCTTGGTTTCCTTTCTATTTCCTTTTTTATCATACTCAGCATGTTTTGCCGTAAGTTTCCTTGTGTCTTTTATTTTGAAACTGTCAATAGATTTTATTTTGACCTTTTCCTTTGTAATCCTTTAAGATTTGAATAATATTTGTGAAAATAGTGGAATTCTCATATGCCCTCTCCCAGCTTCCCCTATTCCTAATATCTTACATTAATATGATACATTTATTACAATTAATGAGGAAGTATTGATGCATTATTTATTGTCAACTGAAGCCCACACTTTACTCAGATTTCTATAGGTTTTACCCGCTCCAGGATCCTGGCCAGGAAATCACCCTAACATTTAGTTGTAATGTCTCCTTGGGTTCCTCTTAGCTTTCACAATTCTGTGTTTTGGATGATCTTGACAGTTTTGAGGAGTACTCAGTAGATGTTTTGAACAATGTCCCTTGATTGGGAGATTTGTCTGATATTTTACTCATGACTAGTCTGGGATTACGAGTTTGGGGGAGGAATATTACAGATGTAAAATCCCATTCTCATCACAGCATAGCAAGTGTGTATTCTATTAGTACAATTCATCATTGGTGATGCTCTCATTGATCATGTGGCTGAGGTAGTGCTTGTCAGGTGTCTATGTGATAAAGTGATTGTTTTATGTCCCCTTTCCATCTGTCCTCTTTGGAAGAAAGTCACGATGTATGGTCCATGGCTTCAGGGGTAGGGAGTTAGACTCCACTTTCTAGAAGTGGGAGTGTCTGCATAAACTGGAATTTTTCTCTGTGGGAGAGTTGTCTATCCTTGTTTGTGGAATTAAGAAATCGTTAATTTTTCTCAGTATGGACTCATGGTATTTATACTGCACTTTGGGTTAAAATCCAATACAACTTTATATACTTTTATTTTCAAATTGTTCTCAGATTGGCTATTGGGAGTTCTTCCTGTCAGCTCCCTTTGTAAATAACTTTGTCATATCCCTGGACATTTTGCTTCCTTTTTTGAAAAATTTCTGAGTACTTTTTTTCACATGCTACAAAGATGTTCCAGGCTCATTTCCCATATTTCCTGACCCAATTCTAGAATCATCAATTTTTCATGGAACCCTTGTTCCTTTTATTGTCAAAAGGTATTGGCAAATCTAGATCTGTACACTCATTGTGCTCATTGGTACTGAAGGGTCATTGGTCTGGGGACCTCTTGGTTGAGAGAGCAAAGATGTATAGATGTACATCCTATCATGTGTTTATGTATATATCTAGAAATATTTTAGGTGGTAAAGAGTTTGTGGATATGACACCAAAAACAGAGGCAAAAAAAGAGAAAGACATATAAAAATTGGACCTGGTCAAATAAATAAAGTCTGTGAATCAAAGAACACTATCAAGGAAGCTACCATATGATACAGCAATTCCACATCTGAGTGTATATTCAAAAGGAAATGAAAATAAGATATTGAAAAGATATTTTCACTCCTACATTTATTACAGCATTGTTCACAGTATCCAAAATATGGTTACAATCTAAGTGTCCGTCAGTGGATGAACGGATAAAGAGGATGTGACATATTCAACATATTCTGCCATTTGCAACAACTTGAAAGGAGCTTGAGGGCATTATGCTAAGTAGAACAAGTGACACTGAGAAAGATAAATACAGTTTGTTATCACTTACATGTGGAATCTAAAAAGGACAACCTGGGACTACCCCAGTAGTCCAGTGGCTAAGACTCTGCACTTCCAATCCCGGGAACATGAATTTGATCCCTGGTTGGAGAACTAAAAACCCACATGCTGAGCAACAAGAACAAAAATAAAATAAAAATAAAAATAAATTTAAAAAGTACAAAGGACAGACAGAGAAATGGGGACGAGAGTGGCGTTTACAAAGAATTAGGGGATGGGGAAATAGGGAGAGACTGTTCACAGGGTACCAGCCCCCACTTATAATACTAACAAGTGGAATCCAGTGTACAGCAGGATGCTTATAGCTCTATTCTGTATTAAATACTTGACTGTTGCTAAGAGGGTAGAACTTCTACATTCTGAACACACACACACACACACACACACACACACACAAATGTGATAGAATGGAGGTGGTAGCTAATACGACGTCACCATTTATAAATGTATCATATCAACATGGCAAGATTTTTGCTTGAACTCCATCCCTCCTTGCTAGCAAGGCTTCTGTTCTAGTGGAGTAAACCTAACTGCAATGGTGGTGTCATTCAGCCGTGTGATACTTCCAGGTTGGAGCAAGAACCAGTGTGAGCGAAATTTTAAACGTCCCTTAGGAGCTACTGTCGCTTCTGGCTCCAGTACAGCATCCCACATGACACTCCCACATCCCACAAGGATTCTGCAGATCAGAATCCGTTTCTGCTTGTTCTAATTTCTTAAAGTTGGCATCTGTACACTGTCAGACTTTTTAAATTTCAAATTCCCTTACCTTCCCTGACTGAACAGCAGGAATACCTAATGGGACTAGAGGACACATGCAGGTTAAGAATCACTTTCCTGGTTCAAAGATTTATTACTCAGAAAGCGTCACCTCTCCCCCCACATGCAAATAGAGAACAATGTGAGTCCATTCCCCAGCTTTGACGATTACCACCACACAGTCAAGTTTAGTAATCACCACATGACAGAGCAAGATGCAACAGACCAGCAGACATGGGTGAAGACTGTCTAACAGTATCTCCATAGAGCTCTGCTCTCCTAAAGTCCGGTTCTGAATTTTGCACCTGCTTATGGCCCTCATGTGTAACGGGTCTTGTATATTTTCATCAGTTGAACTGTCTTTGAAGTGAACTTGAAACACATTTGATTAATCCTTCACAAAGTGATGAATTACTCTTGGTTCCAGTTATCTGAATGAAGCGATACAAAGAGAGACCCACCTGCCTTGGATTAGAGCCAAGGCCTCCCCACCCAGGAGTCAGGAGCCAGAATCACTCCCAAAGAGATGAGCATCTATGTTGCAATATCGGTAGAGATAATAAACAGAGGCTTTCCTTCTTGATGTAGAGAAACCTTTGTTCTAGGTCACATTGCCCTGACTGTGGGCTTCCCAGGCTATTTCCCCCGCTCTAGGTTTGAACCCAATGTCCAGGTTTACAGAGGCCAGGGCAATGGCCACTCTACCCCTGCTTCAGCTTATCTGAGTCTTTCCCACTCTCCCTCCACAAAACCCTTTTTGCCAAACCCTGCCAGCTGGGAAAGGCTGCACAGAGAGCTGGCTCCCCAGGGTGAGATCTTGAGGACGCCCATTTCCCCCTCTGGGAACTGGAGAAATGTTCTCTATCATGGTAACTCCATGTCTCCCACCGAGTGTTAGCAGTTGCTCCTGTGATGAGTAAGAACCAATGTCTGCAGAAGCTGTGCTGAACTGAGAGTGGCTGTGATTGATTTCCTAGAACTCCATCGCTTTCTTGTAGGAGTCCATGGAATTGTCCTTTTATTTGAGAAAAGGACCATGATATTCAAATAGCTGTGCACCCCACCCTTAACTCAGTGGACAGTCAGAGTGTCCTGCACTGTGTGGAGCTCAAGAGTAAAGTGGTGAGGGATAAAGAGGGACTTGTGGTGGCCACAACCTAGTTGGATGTTTTAAATCATTTTGGCCACTCAGCATGCAGGATATTAGTTCCCTAACGAAGGATCAAACCCACACCCCGTGGGGTGGAAGCACAGAGTCCCAACTACTGGACCATGAGGGAAGTCCCTACAATATTCTTAACCAGGAAGCCTCAAAATTGTCAGTGTCATCGGAAAAAAAAAAAAAAAAAATACCACGAAGGTCTGAGAAACTGTCACTGCAAAGAGATTCCCTGTCCCAACACCCACTGTCTTACTTGGGTTTCTCTTACCTTGGACGTGGGGTGTCTCTTCATGGCTGCTCCAGGAAAGCGCAGCCGCTGCTCCTTACCTTGGATGAGGGGTATCTCCTCACGGCCGCCCCTCCTGACCTTGAACAAAGAATAGATCCTCTCGGCCCTGCTGCGCCAGCACAGCCGTCGCTCCTTGGACGTGGGGTTGCTCCTCTCGGCCGACGCCCCTGACTTCAGCCGTGGGATTGCTCCTCTCAGCCCCTGCCCCTGCCCTGGGGCGTGTGGTAGCTCCTCCTGGTCACCACCCCTGACCTCGGATGTGGGGTAGCTCCTCTCGGCCGCACCTGTGCCGTCACAGCCTGGCGCTCTCGGTCGCTGCCCCTGACCTTGGGCTAGGGGTAGCTCCTCAAGGCCATGCTTATGCGAGGTCCATCACAGCTGGAGTGCTTCAATCAATTTTACAAAAGAGTAAAACTCTTGTTTGTGAACTGGGTAACCATAAACCTACAGGGATTAACATCATTCACAAAGATAAGACACTGAAGTTAATGTAGCCTTCTATGAAAACAAAGTTTGAAAAATTTTCTAAAGAAATCAGAGATGAATCTCCATACCATGGTAAAGAACAGAACCCAAAGATGCTACACACTGGTTCCCCCAACTGGCCTTGGCCCTCACTTCTGAGATGGCTAACCGCTCCCTGTTCAATCACAGAAGGAAGGACCAGCCTGGCTGTTGCTATGGCTCAGGCTGCCTCATCCTCCTCCCTGGCAGCCTCTGCAGAAAGGGGTGGGAAGGCCCTCAAAGCCCTGTGTTTCACCCTGAGCAGAAATGCCATAAATTGCCACTTGCTGGTCTCTGCATATGCCTGGGGACCCCACAGGAACTCATAGCATGCAAGGTGGCTGTCAGGCAACTGCTGGTACTCCAGGTTCCCCTCCCGCAGGCACATGTGGGGCAGCAGCTCCCTGGACTCCCCAAAGACGCAGTGCTCACCCTCAGCACACAACCACATCCTGCTGAGTGTTCCCCAGACCTCCTCCTCAGGGGCATGGTCTCTATTCCATATGGTGAGGCTGAGGACCAGCACCAGGAAGCTGGCTTTGGGCAGACCCTGCCCACCGCTATGCATCGTATTGCAGGTGAGGCCCAGGGTGGTGACCAGGATGCTGATGTGCTGCCTGGCATCTACCTCCTTCACCTCCATGCCAAAGTCCAGCTGCATTCACTGCAAGGTTTGCCTGAAGACCACTGGGAAGTGCTGCTGGTTATCCCTGAAGACCTTCAGCATTTCTGCCTGGGAGGTCAGCTCCTTGGCTCGATAACTGAGGAGCAGGAACTTCATCAGGTTAGCCATCATCTCATTCAGAATTTCTTGGGGCAAGATCTCCAAAGGAGCAGAGGAGGATGCTGGGAGGTAGGAGGCCAAGTGGGATGTGGCCTCCTCCTCCTCAGCCTCCAAGTGCTGTGCCTCCATTGGGCCCTGGGCCTCAACTGGGTCCTGAAGGTCTTCTTTGGGCTTACTCAACTCACTCATCTCGACCACAAGCATGATGCCTGGGATCAAACAAGACACGGAAGTGAGGCAGAGGTACAGATGGGGACCACAGGCCTTGGGGCAGAGGGCATGTGAGCAGCCTCGGATGAGAAATGCATCCCAGGTGGTCTGACACAGGCCACTTATAGTTCTCCTCTTGAGGGGTGCTCTCAGACCTCACAGGGGCGCTCCTCCTAGGAAGACAGTCCCCTGGCTACCTGAAGGAGGAAGTGTGATGGCTCCCCAGGGTGTGGTCAGCACAGCCTGAGATTTCCGGGGCCCACAATGTGGGGGGCGGGGGATTAGGGCCTTCGTGTGCCCCCCCTCTGTTCTGGGATGGGGAGCCTCTAGTACACACTCAGGGCACCCTCTCACCTTGACTCCAGGTACTTCCTGGGCCTCCTCTGCTCTCTCATCTCGAGGACACAGGCTTTAGACCTCTGTCTTCACTTCCTGCTTCCTGAAGCTCCTGTGTGAGAAATGGAGGGAACATCTAGGGGCTATACAGTGGCACAGCCCTGGGCCTTCTGTGATGGTAAGAGGGGTGGGCTCAGTGAGCACATCCAGTTGTGTGGTGGGAGGTCCCTCGGGGTGCCCTTGTAGTGCTCACCTTTCCCCCCTGGCACGGCTTGGACCCTCCCCTTTGGAGGCATACAGGGAAACTCAGAACAAGACCCGAGAATGAATAGAAAGCACTGACGGGCCCCACATGTAGCCACACCTGCCCAGGGCCTCCAGCGGGTCCTCGGCTGGGGACATGCTCTGTCCTCAGCTCCTCCTCACACCCTGCCTGGCCTCCCAGCACTGACCACAGGGGCGTGGGTCTGCTCAGTCCTCCACCTGGGTTGGGGAGTCCAGCCTCTGCCGACCTGAAGCCTCTGGCCTCTACCCGAGAAACCTTACCTCCCGAGGTCTCTATGCCAGAGGTCAAGAAACTGCTCACCCTGTGCACCCCACTCTGGGCCCTCCAAGACCTTCCTGAAAGGGCCAAGATCCCTTCCTGTTGGGGTCTAACCTCCTCCGTACTTCCCGGCATGGAGACTGGACCCCAGGCAGCACCGGGGATTGTCCTGTCCACCATTTTGAGACCCTGCCGTTTTCATGAGATCCCCAGTCTCTCTGAGACCGTCACGTGAGGAAGACAGACAGGCCTAGTGTGCTCTTCTCACCCCAAGGGCTCCCAGGGCCGACTACAGGGGTGGGGATCTGTGGGGTTCCATTGGTCCTCACTCAGGGTCTCCTCAGTCCTCACTCAGGGTCCCCTCAGTCCTCCTTCAGGCACCTCACCTTGCCTCCAGGCAGGACCTGGGATTCTCGCCTCTCTGCAACTGAAGCCCTGCCCCTTATACCTGGGACACAGCCTCTCCAAGACCTGGATGTCAGGAAGTCAGACCATGCACGTTTGGCTCATCCTATCCCAGGGCCGCCAAGGACCAACTGCAGCTACAGCCTTCTCTGAGTTCTCCTCTGATTGGGTTCCAGGGTCCCCTTAGTCCTCCCTCAGGGTCCTCATCTTGAAACTCTGGAGGAGCTGGGCTTCTTCCCTCTGCTCACCTGAGGACGCGTCCCCTTTCCCAGATCCCCAGTTTCTCTGAGACTTGGATGTCAGGAAATGCAGCATGAGCTCATCCACCTTCTGTGCTCCCTGAGCCTTGATGTGAGGGTCCCACCTCGGGTCAACACAAGGGGCATCCCCGGATCTGCCTGGGCTCTAGATGAGGTCCTGTAGGGGGGAATATAAGGAACCTCACAGATGCCTAACCCTGCTGTTAGGCCTGGACGATCCTGGTGGTGGGATGAGCACTTGGCAGCCTGTTCTGACTTCTGCCTCTGCACCTCAGAGACATGAGGCAACTGTTAGAAGAAGTAGTGCCTCAGATGGGCAGAGGGGAAGATCTTAGTTCTTTGGAGGGTCAAGGTGAGGACGCTGAGGGAGGACTGAGGGGACCCTGGACCCCAGAGCACAGTGGGCTCTGGGAGGACGTAGGGTGGAAGGAACTCATGCTGCATTTCCTGACATCTGGGTCTCAGAGAGACTGGGGAACCTGGTATAGGTGGCTTACTTCCTGACATACAGGCCTCAAAATGGGGACCTGGTACAGGGGTCTGACTTCCTAATATCTGGATTTCAGACTGGTGTCCTAGTATAGGGAGTGGACTTCCTCACATTCATGTCTCAGAGAGACTGGAGTCCCGATATAAGGGATGGGGCATTAGTAGGGGAGAGGAGTGAATCCGAAGTCCTACACAGAGACAAGTTGAGGTCCCTGAGGGAAGATTGAAAGGACCCCTGAGTGAAGTTTCTAGGGACCCCAAGTCTTACCAGACTGATGGAGCCCTACAGGTCCCAGGCCCTGTTATCGGCCCTGGGAGCCCTTTGGGTGAGAAGAGCATACTAAATATGTCCTGACTTCCTGACATCGGGGTCTGTGAGACTGGGGTCATGGTGTGAGGAGCAGGGACTATGATGGGGAGAGGACAGAGCCTAGGTCCTACCAGAAGTCAAGGTGAACACCCTGAGGGAGGACTGAGGGTAGCTAGATCTGAGACCAGAGAGAACCCTGATAGTCCCCAGGCAGGAAGACCTCGTGCTGCATTGCCTGACATCCCTGTCGGAAAGACAAGTGAAAACAGCCGAGCCTCCAAATTGCAGACAGGACATTGCAGGTCTTGCCTGGAGTACAGGCTCCATACGAGGAATGACCGAGGCAGGCTGCCCACAGATACCAGTCTTCGGCCCCCTTCGGAGGAGCCGCCAGGAGCCTCCACGGATAATCACAGCCTCCAGGGTCATGTTCCAGTCAGATGAACCAACCTGAAGAAATGCTTTGTCAACCTGTTTAGGAGGGCAAAGGCAACGGAGCAAGCCCAAGTCGAGGCTGCAAGCTCCATTCTGGCCACCAGTCCTCAGGCTGAAATGCCCTGGGAGAGCCTCTTCCATACCCTCTTAGCTCTCCCCTTTCAGACACCAGGCTGTGGCCCTCACACAGGGCAAATGACCCTGCTGCAGGGCAGAACTAATGGGAAACTATCTCTAGGGGCACAGTGCCCTAGAGTCCTCACACGTGGGCCTTTCCAAGGTGCTGTTCTGTCCCCTACATGGTGATTTTGAAGAAAAGTGGCCCACAAAGGTTTGAGAACATGCATCTCCAAACCCACTGCACTGTCGTTCATGTGTAGTGAAGACAGGCGACTCTCTCTTGGGTTTCATCCAGTCCCACACCCAGACTCTCATCCATTTTCAAATACAGGTAGACAGGGGCTTCCTTTGGTCACATCTAGCTCAACAACTCAGAACTGACCCCTGGGAGTGAGTGTGTGTAAAGGAGGCCCCTTGAAAAGCACCTAACCTGTGAGGCAACAAAATCATTCAATGTACCAGCCATCTGGGTAAGGCAGAAGAGGTCCACAGTGGTGATGGGGACAGGGGCAGCGGCAGGGGCAGAGAAGATCAGAGCTGGCCTTGGAGAGGACCAGTGAAGTGCTTGTTTTCAACAGAACAGGCTGTACCTTGAGCCCCCAATCAAGTCCTTCAAAGGGCATGTACCCACATGACACCCAAGTTGGCCATGGGAGGCCAGGGCCGGGGATAGCAGAAGCCAAACCACCCCACTTATGAAAGGAAACAGATTCCAAGGCAGCCTCCAGGGAGTCTGAATCCAAGTCCGAGACTCTGGGAAGGGGGTGGGAAAAGCAAACACCTTGGTGTTCCCAAGGTGAGCACTCTAGGGCCATGTGAGCAGTCTTTATAGGAAAAAATGGAAACTGAAGACAACTACCTGTAATGTCCAGTGGGATGATGTCCGGGCATGGGCAGAACTCAGGAGGCTGCAAGTTCAGCAGAGCACCTGGCTGTGCCCTCCCACACGGCATCGTGTGGAGTCTGTGTCTCAGGTGCTGGGGGAACAGTCAAGTGGAATGTGAGGTCATTCCCACTGTGCTCGAGCATGGCCCTACTCTGGGGAGAGCTCGACCTGGGGGATGGTGGGGGCACGACAACAGGACTCTGACTTTGGAGCCATCTGAGCAGGACCTACCTACCGGAAGCACCAGCTGGAAGAGACCAAAGCCCGAAGAGGGGCAAGGATGGGGATGGGGGTTGGGGGAATGGGACCAACAACTCAGGCTAGGCCATCCAGCTCACTACGGACCCCATCTTCCGGGAGGGACCATTCGCCAGGGGCCCATCTGACCCCTGGGGTCTCTCTTGGTAGAAGCTGAGCCAGGGTTTGCCAGGGCCTGGCCCTTTAACAGAAGGCAGCCACAGGCCTGCCTCTTTGTAGGGAGGGGGGTAGAGCCAGGGGCACGTTTGTCAACCCATCCAGGGCCTGGCCCCCTGAAACAAGGTGCCTGGCAGCAGATGAGAGCCTTTGCAGGCAAACTGAAACATGCTTTCCTGTACTTTCAGACAAGAAACAAGCTGGGGATCCCATCTCTGCCCAAATACCCCTCCCCCACACTGGGCCAGGGCTGCCTTTCCACATTACTTCTGTGACATCATGAAACGATTAAGGGAGCTGACCACTTAATTGGCTGCCAGATTCTAGAATCTCCAGAGATTATTTATGGGGCACCCCAACCCTGGTCTGAGGTCC